AGCCGGGAGTTTTAGGGCACCAGAGGCCCCGAGACCGACCCGTCCCCTGAGAGAAAGGAGGAAGGAAACAAATCCATGGGTGTCCCGGAGAGCTGGGCAGTGTGTGAGGGAGGAGCAACCCCGCTGCCCTTGCCCTGAGCTCCTGAGCCCACAAGGAAACTCTGCCCAGTCCTCGCCAGCAGATCTGCTCCTGCTGCTCCGGCTGAAGCCTCTGGTGTGTGAGGAGCAGCAGGCAGCCCCCCCAGCTCGTGTGTCTCCCCACAGGCACTGCCTACGTGCTGACATGTTACTTCACCAACTGGGCCCAGTACAGGCCTGGGGAGGGGAAATACACCCCCGACAACATCGACCCCAACCTGTGCAGCCACCTGATCTACGCCTTCGCCGGGATGAACAACAACGAGATCACCACCTATGAATGGAACGACGAGACCCTCTACAAATCCTTCAACGGCCTGAAGAACCAGTATGTGCTGGGAGCAGGGGGCAGGGCTTGTTCTCCCTCTGGGCCAGGGCAGGGCAGGGGACATCCCCTCTCCTCTGAGCACGGGGACGGTGGCTCAGGGTGTTGGGGACCTGCTGTTCACACTTCCCACCAAAAGGACACAAGCTCCACCAAAGCCTTGCAGTAACACAGGTTGCTGTCCCTTCCTTTGCAGGAACAGAAACCTGAAGACCCTGCTGGCCATTGGAGGATGGAATTTCGGCACCCAAAAGTAAGTTCAAACTATCTCTTTCCAGTAATGGTGCCCTGGAAAGGGAGGGAGAATGGAAGGAGGCTCCAGTCTAACCCCAACTCTCTCCTGCTCTGCTTGCCCAGGTTCACTACGATGGTTTCCACCCCCCAGAACCGCCAGACCTTCATCAATTCCGTTGTCAAATTCCTGCGCCAGTATGGATTCGATGGGCTGGACCTGGACTGGGAATACCCCGGCTCCAGGGGCAGCCCAGCCCAGGACAAGGGGCTCTTCACCACCCTGGTTAAGGTGGGTTTGCTCAAGGCCTCTGCTCGGCACAGCTCTGGCCAGAGCCCCGGGCAGAGGCAAAGCCTGAGCCCAGAGCCCCTGGCTGAGCCCTGTTCCTTGGAATCCCTCAGGAATTGCTGGCAGCCTTTCAGCAGGAAGCCCAACAGACCAACCAGCCCCGTCTCATGGTCACCGCGGCCGTGGCTGGAGGACTTTCCACCATCCAGGCTGGCTACGAGATTGCTGAGCTGGGCAAGTGAGTAGCAAACTCTGGGATCACTTGTGGGACTGGATTGTCAAAGCTCCAAAGAGCCCCTGAGGGACCCAGATGTGCAGGAATTGGGGCTGTGGCCGGGCTGGGACAGGGGGTGACCGGCCAGTGCTGGAGGAACCGTCAGCTCTGGTGCCTGAGCGGGTCAGGACGGAGCCAATGCTCTCCACAGGTACCTGGACTACATCCACGTGATGACCTACGACTTCCACGGCCCCTGGGACGGCTCCACCGGCGAGAACAGCCCCCTGTTCAGCAGCGGCAGCACCCTCAGTGTGGTGAGGACATTTGAGGAGTCTCTGTCACTGAGGTCCTCTTCCTGCCAACAAAGCCTGGCACTGACTTGAACCGTGGGGTTTTTACAGGAATACGCCATGAACTACTGGAAGAACAACGGTGCCCCAGCTCAGAAGCTCCTGGTTGGCTTCCCGACCTATGGAAAGACCTTCACCCTGCAAAACCCCTCCAACACCGGGATTGGGGCCCCATCCTCTGGCCCTGGGCCAGCAGGACCCTACACCAGGGAGGCCGGGCTTCTGGCTTACTATGAGGTACGTGTGGCCCTCGCCTGCAGACCCCCAGAGCAGCACAACAACCATCCTCTGCCTTCCCAGCCAGGAGTTCTGACCCCAGCCAACATTGCACGGGCCCTTTTCTGGCAGGTCACTCACTGACTTGTCCCCGCTCTGCCCTTCTTCCCTAGATCTGCTCGTTCCTGAACACCGGAGCCACCCAGGCTTGGGATGCCCCCGAGGACGTGCCCTACGCCTACAAGGGCAACGAGTGGATTGGCTACGACAACACGAAGAGCTTCAGCCTGAAGGTCTGGTGGGACGTGGGGCTGTGCTGGGGAGGAGGCAGGAGGCTCCTGCAGCTCCCGGGTTGATTGGGATTTCTGCCCCGCCCCAAACAGGTCGACTGGCTGAAGCAGAACAACTTTGGAGGGGCCATGGTTTGGACCATCGACCTGGATGACTTCACTGGCACTTTCTGCCACGAAGGCAAATACCCCCTGATCTCCACCCTGAAGAAGGGCCTTGGTCTGTGAGCAGCGGTGAGTCCCGGCAGGAACATGGCCTTGGTGCCCCTCCAGCACCTCCAAAGGGCAGGGGGTGCTCGGAACGCCCTGGGGCCACGGAGAGAGGGCAGGGAGGAGGGTCCCTTCCAAACAGAACCCCTTCCCAAAGGCAAACTGCTTCCTGCTTTCTTTTCAGGCTGCAAGACCCGTGAACGGTCCAGTCCTCAAGTCCCTGTAGCTCCTAATGTGGAAGCAGCAATTCAGGGGACTGGCCATGAAGATCCCAATCCTGTTCCCACCCACAGACCCCTCTGATCTAATTGCACACAATATGAATGATTAAATAAAGCTTCCTGCAAAAGCAACAATTCTCTCTGTTTTAACTCGTCTCATCCCGACTATTTCCATGTTCTCGCTTCCCAACAATCCTGTGGGCTGTGCCTGGGAACAGCAGCAATTAAAAGCTCCAACAGCAGGTGTCAATGTTGCCCACTCTTCGCAGCCCTGTGGATGGAGCGATTTTCTAGGAGTCTTCAGCTAACATTTCCAGAGGAAATGTGACTGCAGGGCAGAAAGCTCAGTTCTTGTTGGTCTTTGTTTAATCTCAAATAGAGATCTGGGATTAAGAGGAATTTTTTAGCACTTTCATGTAGAAATGGAGCACTTTGATAAATCCATCCTTTTTGGCCATCTCAAGTGTTTAAGTCACCTGCTCATCTATCTAACCAAGAATTTAAGCTCAGTTTCTGTCTCTTCTGCCTTTCCTTACCAGCACAATAAATATTTACCGCAGGAAAATGGACTTGAGGGGTCAGTTTAAAGATACAAACTAATTGGAGCTGAGCTGGACATGCAGGGGAAGGAACAGGCCATGCAAGCCAAAACTTGATTAGGGATGCATGGAGCATCATTTAATCATGGAGCCTGGTTAAAGAGGCCTGTCTGGGCCTCCTGTGGTGATATTGCCAGTCTCTCAATGGCTTAACAGCTTTTAATAACTGAGCTGTACTTGGGGACCACTGACCTTCTTAGATAAACTGTCCCCTCTCCAGGAGTGTGACAGAACGAGGGAAATACAACCACAGTGTCAGCGGCCAAATATGTGCAGAGCTGGCCCACGTCCAGCCTGCTCTGTGTGCACTCCCTGGAGCTGCTGCCACTGCAATCCAGTGCCTGTAAATGGGGCCAGGAAAAGGTTCTCTCCCACCTCCCAGCCATGGAACCCCCACACGTGTCCACCAGCACACGGAGCTGATGGAGCTGATGGTGTAACAGGAGCCGTGCAGGGAGGTGGCTGGAACACCATCTGCTCAGCTGCCTCGTAAAGGGCTTTCAGAGGGGTCTGGGAGGTGGCCTGGGCCAAATTTCTCTCAAAACAGATCGTTTGGTGTGGCTGCAGGGCGCGGGTTGCAGCTGCCGTGAGATCCATCCCATGGGAAGCCCTGGCTGAAGATCCAGCTCCGTTACCTGCCCTGTAACACAGAGCCAGGGAATCATTTAGGCTGGAAAAGACCTCCAGGGCCATCGAGTCCACCCTGTGCCCGATGCCCACCTTGTCACCCAGCCCAGGGCACTGAGGGCCACATCCAGTCGTTCCCTGGACACCTCCAGGGGTGGGGACTCCGCCGCCAGCACGTTCTATCCAGCAAATCTCTGGCATCTGGTTTCGTTCAGATTCATGGCAAGAAAGCCTTAAAGCTCCTCAAATTCCCTCCTCCTAAAGACAACAGGTCTTGGCCAGGAGGCTCCAGGCAGACACCGTTCAGGGCAGCCAGGAGGGACCCATCTCTCTCTGATTCTCACCACGCCAGGTCCTTTGTTGAAAGGTCTCTATTTTTAAGCTGTTTTCCCCAGCCCCAACTCCTTGTTCCAACGGCTGGGTCTGCTCTGCTTCACACCCGTCTTCCTCTGGCATTTGGTTTCCCTCCTCTCCACAGCTCATTGAGTGGAACTAAAGAAGTGCTGATTTTCAGATACCAACCATTCCCTGCTCCCCGGGGAGATTCCTGCCTCCTGCATGCACATTCCCAGAAATACCATCTGACTCACTCTGATTACGAAATGCTGCAGCCATTTCCCACCCCTCTACTTCTGGAGTGTAGTTAGCTCACCTTTTGTCCCCAGGGATATTTTATAGGGACTTGGAAGAGTTTTTTTTCATGAGGATTTGATGCAATGCCCATTGTATATTCTTTCCTCGCAGCACATCTTTCATCCTTCCTCTTTCTCTCTTGGCACTAAACTGCTATAATTAGGCTCTGTAAACGAATCTCAAGCTTCTCTGATGTTGTGAAACGCTCAAACTTGATTTCTGACCATCCTGTTCCCCAAATAGACCTTGACTCTGCACTGCAGGCATCTCCCTGACGTTCCCTGGTGCTCAGGGTGGAGGCAACGCGTCCCCCAGCTCCCTGTGCTGGTGAACTCCAGGGCTCAGGCTGCTCTGTCTGCCTGGGAATGGGCTGCAGATCCTCCCACCTAGTCCTGCATCCAAGTGTTAGTCCCTACATCACTTCCTGGTCTGTTGGCAGGTGAGAACAGGCCTTGGAAAGGCTCCTGTGTTCACCTGAGACAGATCCACAAATAATATAAACATCTGTGCCCCAGCAGAGGTGGGTGCAGGTGGGCACAAGGGGCTGCAGAAAGGTTAGATGTGCATGGATGGACTGCACAGGGGTGTTATTTTAGCTCAGGAAATGCCACATGGATAACTGGAGCTTCCTTTCAGCTGCTCTGGATGGTTCGTTATTTTTGTGGATGTTCCACGAATTTTTTTTCCATAGTCTGATCTTTCAAAAATTGGATTTATTAAAGCATTTAATCTTCAAAAATCCACTTAAGATTGGTAACGCATATTACAGCCTGAACTAATACAATCTATTACTTAGGAAAATGTCAGCCCTGAGCACGCAGATCTCCAACTCCCTGCAGCCAGGGTTCCAAAGGGGCAGGTTCAGCCATGGAACATGGAACATGACCTGTTTTCCCCCATCCATCTCACCCCGACAATCCCCATTATCTGTCAGGAAAGAACCAGATGCCCCGGATTGGGAGCTGAGACAAGCTGGGAGTGCTGGGGGCTAATCCTTCACTGAACTGTGGCTGCCACTGGGCTGGACACGGATGCTGGGACACTGTCCTGCATTTCATCCAGTGCTCAGGAGCTCTGGTCCTTGCCAGGACCTCAGAGCAGGGAACAGGAACTTCCTTTCAGCCCTGTCCTTTTCCCTCTGAACCCTTCAGAGGATGCTCTGCCCCCACACCACCGTCCCAGCTCATCTAATTACTTACTAAGCTCTTTTTCTGGTTAGCCAGCATCTGCCCATTTCCAATTAATCCGTGTTCACAAGCTCAATAACCTGAGCCATCTGGGGAGGTAAGAGAGATAAGCTTCCCATTAAACATTTACAGGACACAACAGGAGTACTGAGGCAACTGTTGCTGAGACAACCCAGGCAGGGAGGGGGAGCAGCTGATCCTGTGCCTCCAACGAACCAGGGAACCGGGAAAACAAAATTTAGGGGCCTAAAAACGGATGTGGACCCTCACACCCCCTCCCCAGGGCACGAGCTCCTCTCACTCACACCCACAGACGCCCTTGCTTCCTCACAATAAAGGTCTTTAAAATAATTCAATAGCATTTCGAGCCCTGGAAGTCCGAGCAACCAAATAGCCTTTAAATTAAACATTCGGCCCTGAAGCAGCAGCTCCAGGTGCCCTTCAACCCACAGGGCTTAAAATAGCCCAGAAGTCAGGCTGACCCCCCAGTTCAGCTTTCCTGAACGGGGTGAGACGTGGCCTCAATTCTGAGCAGAGACCTTATCTCTGTCCCCACACTCCAGCAGCCACTGGCCTCGTTTTGCAAGCACAGTTTTTGTTTCCCAATCTCGCTGGATGGGGTTTATCTCCCCAAGCACCTCCGCCCTTTTTCCCATTCAGAGTTTCTGGGGCAGCAAGGGAACAAGATCCTTTGCCTGTATATCCCATTCCCTCAGGTCAGTGCAGCAGAAGCCTAAAAACCTTCATGGAAACGAAGGAACCTCAGGGATGAACTCAGAAATTGGGAATATTTGAGTGTGTCTCGAGATCCAGGGAGAGGGTTGGCAGATTATGGCTTTTAAAAGGGTGTGGAGTTTATGGGGCCACGAAATTCCACACTTTGATTCCTGTGTCCAGCTCTGGGCCCCTCGCTCCAGGAAAGACATTGAGGTGCTGGGGCATATCCAGGGATGGGAATGGAGCTGGGGAAGGTGCAGCAGCACCTTTGAAAGAGCCTTTCCTTCCAAGAGCTCCTGGATACAGGAGGTTGCTGTCCTGGGACAGGGAGTTGGAACAAGCTGATGATCCTTCAGGTCCCTTCCACCCCAAAGCAGTGTGTGATTTGATGTGTCACCCCGAGCGGATTCAGCCAATAATTCTGAATATTGCAGGCATGGGAGAAAACCCGTTTAGGTTGAGAACTGCTGTGAACTTGAAAGCAATAAAAGGGAAAATTCATCAAAGAAACTCCCAATTACTGCTGGCCCAGGGCTGTGCTGCAGGGAGGGAACACTGGGAACAGCGTGTGAACCCAGCTCGGCTGATGGGGGAGTGGGGAAGCTGCACTGGGGGCATTGCCCTGGGTTTAATCCTGTATTCCTGGCTGTCACTGTGGGGACTCTCCTGGGGCTGAGAGAGCCCTGAGAGGCTGCCAGGGCTCGGGGGGGAGAGAGGGAAGTGGAAGTAAAAGTGTTCATATTACAATTTCTTGTAGCAGCCATAATTCCTCCTCGCGGGGCAGACCCGGGGGTGGGGGTGTGAAGGGGCCCCCCTTTAGTTTGCTGACCCTTTATTTTACCCACAGGGGAGTGAACACCCCCTTGTCCCATCCATGGCTGGGACATGGAACATGACCTGTTTTTCCCACCCATCCCACCCCGACAATCCCCATTATCCCTGAGGGAAGGTGCCCTGGACTGGGATGCCCTGAGCAGAGCTGCCCTCTGTGCCTCCCTTCCCTTCCTCCCTCCCTTCCAGGCTGGATGCATTCCCTCTTCCAGGCATCCCGGCACCCTGAACGTGCTTCCCACCAAGAGCCAATCTCCATAAAAACTGGAAAACCAGCCTGTGCCCCCCCCTCCCCAGCACCCCTGGAGCTCCTGGAGGGACATCACGGAGGGATCTCCATCTTTGGAAGCAGCTCTGCTCCCCAGCCCCGCTCCCCCTGCCCTCGTGGGAGGCTTTTGCTGCGCTCTGTGGCTGCTCCTACGTCACTTGTTTTTGCAGAAGCTCTCGCCAGCTTCCTGCTGAGGAGCTGGGCCTGCTGACGTGCAGGGAACAGCCACGTCAGGCAGGGCCGGGAAGGGAAACGCGGCCCTTTTTTGGG